CCTGTAGGGCCTGTCCCCCGCTGCCGCAGCCGCGTCGCGCTCATGCTGAAGCGCTCTCCGGAGTCGCAGGGCCTCTCCCGTGGGGGTTGTCCCGTGCTGGGGGAGACGCCATCGCTGCCCGAGGCTCTCCCTGCAGGCGAGGGGCTTCTCCTCTGAAAAGACTTAAGCGCTGCGTGGCTGGGCAGGCTCCTCCGCGTCGGGAGAATGGCAAACGCCCACCTCGGGGGGCAACACGGACCCTTCCTCGCCGCACGACAGCAGCTAGCGCCTTCGAAGAAGGAAGTTATCTAGAGGACACCAAAGCAGAGCTCTGGAAACTCGTACGTGGGCTCGGTGCCCGTTCCAAGAGATGAGGCCCTACCAGGGCACTGCCAAGCTGCTGGAGCCTCTCCTGGTCCTGAGAGTGGAGATGTGGCCTTTGGCCTTGGGAGAGTGGAAGTGAGCTTGTGCTGAGCTCAGGCACGACCTTAAATCCTCAGCAATCGCTTAAATCCTTAGTGAGAACTCACTCCTTGGTAATCTAAGTTTACAAGATGATTCTGTCTGGGCAGAAGAGTAGCTGGAGAGGTGAGGAACCTGGGCAGAGAAATACTGCAGGTACCTCTGAAACCTTCTTCTGGGGACTGCAGCTGAATCAGAGATGTCTGCTGAAGGCTGAGTCACCTCTCCCAGGCACTTTATGTTTCATTAAACAAGCAACTTCTATGCAATGTCTGTAGGAACTTTTGTGCTAGAATGATCTGAAAAGCAAACAAGCACATTTGAAATGCACTCCTGGAACAGCTCCAGTCCCCTTGAAGAACTGCAGGAAGGATTGCTCTCGGATTTATCCCTTCGGTATCTAAACGCTGGCACTGTAAGCATAATACCTGGGCTCTGAGAACCCAACAGAAGGGGAGGGCACAGCAGTCACCTCTCTGTACTTTACAGCATTCTCATGTTTTGTAGTTAAACTGGCCCCTGCGTGGATCTTGGCCATGGCAGATGCCACGGTGATGGATCACACCCACTCAAGAAATGCCATTAAGACAGTGTGACTTCTGGAGTAAGTGGACACCCAGAACTGTGCCCATGTAAGAAAACTCTCACTTTCAAGATTACTATGTAAACATCTGCAGCACAGCTTTTCGGAATAAACCTACTATTTTTTCAGGCAGGCAATGTGACAATACACAAACCAACACTGTGGTAGCCGAGAAGGAGTATCCATAATCAATCCCACAGGTCATTTGATTGTCACAGTGAGTTTAGAAGCAGTGTTTTCCAAAGCTCACTCACAGCTTACATGGTGCATCTTGGTAAGACAGCAGCATTGTGCCATGCTAGTAACATATCTGCTCCTTTCTTTAACTTAAAAAAACAACTAATACCTTAGTTGAAAAGGTATTACTTTTCTGCAGCCTTGGAAGTGTTAAACATAAGTATCAAAATATTTTTGATAGCTATTACTACACAGTTGGAAATAAAAAATGATTACAATGTATTTTCCAAGACAAATGATGCTGCATTAGGAAGGTAAGAAAACACAGAAATATAACTTGAAATTGAACTGTTTGGCAACACATTATCACTGGCAGATGGTACCACCAGTGTCAGCTCGGGGAGGCACACTTTGCTTACAGATTAATGAAGCAGGTGAATGAGTAATTGCTTTCAGATAATTTGAAGTGTATGTCAGATATGTCCTTGTAGTCTTGAAGGCTGTAAAAGACTTTAAATCCTTTTCTCATAATCTAAGTTTCAGAATTACAGAAGACATTTTGTCAGCTTCAGCAACAAGGAAACACTGAGGCAAGTCTCTGCAAAGTGGTTACCTCCAAACCCTGACAGCACATGTGTGATATTTAAAATCATCTTTCTGCATTAGGCAAAGACTGCCCAATTGCAGGGTTTAAGGATGACAAAGGAGGATGGAGACACTTTCAGTGAGTAAAATTCAGATTTTTCTTGTAAATGCTAAACAGTTTTTTATGACACAATGCTCTTTGAACCCTAGTAATTTATACCCACTGAACTGTGATGCTGCATTCACTGAAAGTTGAGATGTAATAAAGAATTGATTGCAAAATCTTTGATCATAAATATAAGTCTTACCTAAAAACAGAGAAAAAAAGCTGGGAAGGGAATTTATTTATTTTTGCATATGGTAAGTAGAACTGAAGCTTTTCCTGTTTATGAAGTGTGTACTTGAGAGAGAAATACATGGTACACTGAGAACAACATTTCCTAGAATGCCACTTAAGGCAAGCCTTGTCCTTTTCATGTAATGAAGTCACCTCCTGGCAGCTCTTGCACAAGAAGGTAGGGGAGGAGAAATGAAGTGACTGCCAAGGAAGAAAACAATCCCAAATTCGTGAAAATTCAGACACGGCAGAAGGCTTTGCTAGGAAGTCATCCCACCCTTATACGTGCCACGGACACCTGACAGAGGAGGTTCATTTGGCAGTCACTCCATTTCCCCTCCAACAGCAGCCCTCCCCTCTGAGGCCAGACTGGACTCTCCCCACAGACCCCAAAACCTTCCCCCCAGTCTCCCTCACCTCTGGGCTGCGTAGAGAGGAGCCGGGCAGCTCGTTTCTCTCCAGGCAGCCATTTCGCCAGCCACTGCCGGGTGACCTCTCCTTGCTGCTCCTGACAACTCCTCCTCCTCCAGGTCTCTGCTCGGGGTTCCAGTCAGTGCAGGTGCAGACTGCAGGCTCTACTGTTCTCAATTAGACCCAGCATTGCCACTTAGAACTCCTCCCCAAGTCTGTTGTAAGACGTTACTTACAGTTTGTCATTAGTAGAAGTTGTTTATTATATATAATATAAATCAAATAAAACTGGGGATATAGTTTATCAAAAATAGAAAAAATATCTGTATGTTCCAAATATATAAATACATTTAGAAATCCAGTTTCTTTTTTTGTTGTGTCAAATGAAACTCTTTGCAGACTCAGAACTGCCACAACAGACAAAAATCAGAAGATGTTGTGAAAGTAAATACATAAAAGATGTTAATTTAGAGTCCGAGACCTCCCCAAGAGTCCCAGACAGTTTGCAGCCTGAGATCAGTCCAGTTTGGAAATGAGACTGATCAGAGAAGTGGGTTTAGATCAGGTTATAAGAAGTGCTGAAGAGATCCAGTGGTCACTATAATACTGCCTTAAAAACATCTCTGTCGAGGACATGCTCAAGCTACACTGACAAGGTAAAACGTTGCTCAGAAAATGGAGCAGACGGTATCTTCAACACAGATCCAGCATGCAAGTGGACAGAACTGAATGTTTGCATCTAAAGGGCTTTCACATGATGTCTGGTGTCAGAGGGCACTTTTGGGAGACATCACAAATACACCACAAAAACACCTCCACTGTTTTGCAGCCATTTAAGAAACACAGATTAAGGAGTTTTACCAGAGACTGCAAATCGAACCAGGGACAGAAGAAAGGCATTGTATTTCCACAGTGCTCCCTGCCTTAACAAGCAGAAGGGCAAACTGTATGCTGAAGAAACGAAGACGGAAATCATGGGGGTCTAAACACTCAGTGCTTTACAGGGGGGAAAGGGGACTGGTTTCTCGCAGATGCGTTATTCTGCTGAATATTGGAACTCAAAGGGTGAAAGCATTTCACAGCCCAAGGCCAGGGAAAAGGTCTTGGCAAGTGTCACTGGAGAGAAGCACCTACCTTTAGAAGCACCAACACAAAGAAAAGTTGGGGACCTAAAACCTATTAGAAAAACGGAAAGAAAAGGCACAGGAGGAAAACTGGGAGGAAAAAAGAGGCTCCAGAGGAGCTGCGTGCTGAAGGCCAGAAAGTGACAGAGGAGTTTGTGCAATTCGGAGTAGAGGGCTGGGACCGGGAGCTCAGTTCAGACCCATTCTCCAGAGTGTCATCTGGACAGAGGCCGCAAGGAGGAGCAGTGCACCCACCGATCACAGCACCGCTGCTAGCACCAGCCTGGAACGGGGTTTCCAGCTTATGAGAAGGCCTCCATGTACAAAATTTTCAGGATGGAGGAGTGGGCTTCATTCTGTATCGTCTTCTCTGTTTTTTGTTTCCCTTTCTTTTCTGTTCCTTCTCTTTGCGGGCTCTGGCAGTGGTAAATGTGATACAGTGAGCATCTAAAAAGTCCAGCAGCTTTGCCTTGGAAATTTTAATGCCATTCTGTTTCAGCTCTGTGTGCAGCTCAGCCAGCTCAATTGGCTCATAAAACAGAATCTTGTTGTAGAGGGCTGTGTTCGAACGGATGTAGCACCTTACTGCCTCCAGCTTATCTTCTTCTCGAGCTGCTGCCTGAGATGCTGGAAGCTCCTCTTCCTCCTCCTCAGATGCAAAAGCACAGGCTTCAAATCCATTCATGAAAGAACTAAAAGCAAGATTAAGTAGACCAGAGATCAAGAAAGAACAGGCCATGACAGACAGGACCACAGCTCCTCAAATCCCTGTGACTACCTTCTGTAGGATCACAGACTCCCCAATACCTGCATCCACAAAAAAGGCGAGGCAGAACACGGTGCATGTTCTGCAAACCTCCCCATGACAGCGCTGGCCCTGCTCACCCAGCCCCAGAGCTGCCTGGCATTCCTTGCTGCTGACCACGCTGTGGCAGCCTCTGTCGAGCAGGGCTGGGACATCCTCTCCTGCTCTAGCTGCAGGTTCTTGGTTCACACCAAGTGCTCCTTGTCGCTCTAACTCACAGAGACCAGACATGCCAGATTTGGGCCTTGCCCACACGCAGCCACAAGCGCTTCTGTGTTCTGAGAATAGCTCTCTGGGAATTAGACAAAAAAACAAAGCCTGTTTCTTTTGTAGGACAGTGTTGACCTTCAGATGACACCCAAGGAGGTGGCAGGGCCACTGTAGGCCACACAGACACTGACCTGTTTGCCACTTTCCTAGCTCATCTCTGTCCTGCACCATTGACTGTTTTGTTTAGTATTTTGTTGCCTTACCGCTGTGAACCAAAAGAGATGTCGCTTCCATCCACTGAAGAAACTGCAGACTCCTGAGATGCCATGAGCATTGGTTCCTCACCATCAGCTGCCAGAGACCATCTCTCTGGAGATGCAGATGATCTCTTCTGCTCTTTGGCTCCTTCTGGGGGATGTGTCATTTCAGTTCCCTCCTTGGGTGCTGCACAGCCCGATTCACAGGATCCAACAAGGTCATCATCAGCCCTCCCCACAGGGAGCACTGAAGAAGCTGTAGCAACCCGCTTCCTTCTGCCCGCAGCCCTGGAGGCACTGGCACGCTTTCCACCTGCAGGCCCCTTTGCCTTTGATTGCCTAGAGCGTTTGGCTGGGGACTTCTGCTGGGGAGGCTGGGAAGACGGGATTTCATCCTCAAAGTCAGAGTCCACGTCCCGGTGAGTATACTGGAATATCTCCTTCAGCTTCAAGACCATCTGGCGTTTTGGGAGAGCACGAACTCCAAATCTGAAAGAAAAATGTGGGAGTTCAGATTAAGATAATGCTGCACCTTCCACTGTCACAGCTCAGGAAGAGGCTCAGGCCAGGAAGTCCAGTGGTCAGCTGGAAAAGTGGGACATGACCTCAGAAAATACTGACTGGAGCTTCACCATGGTTTCACTTTCTGCCCAGGAGCTTTCTTACACACTATGTGCCAGCAAGTTTCTGCTCAGAAAGAGACGTACTCGTGGAGGTAATGCTAACCTGCTCAACTCCTTCTTCAGCTGTGGTGTCTCCATGATGGAGTAAGCTGGCATAGGTGTCACTGGAGTGCTGGGAGGCTTGTTGTTCTCCTGACAGGAAGGTTCTGCAACAGAATGAAATGACCATGATCAGAATTAGCACAGAAAGGACTTAAAAAGGGGTATCTTCCCCTTTTAGTGGCAGATATTCTAATATTATATAATAATTGTTCAAGTAGCACTACTTTCCTACAAGCTGTTTTAATTATTACTCAGCTTCATATTGGACTCAACCCCTTTTTTTTTTTTTTTTCCTGATCTGGGATACTTGGTTTTTATTGACTTTAAATCAGAAAACAGCTTAAATTAAGCCATATGTCACATCTGAATACGAAGCCCATTCAGGGCTTTGTTAGAACAGGCAATGTTTACAGGGCAGTTAAAAAACCCATGTTTATTGAATTCTGTAAAGTGGTGGTTCTCCTGGGAAGGAAATTTCATAAAAGGGACTTGAAGAAGAAACTGAGCAAGTCAAGCTTCTGGGGTCCTGAGTTAGATACTGATTTAATGATACCAATTTACTGATACTGTGAAGGACAGTCAGTCTCTAAACACCTGTTAAATTAATCAGTTAGTATAGCATAATTAATAATATATTTAATTAGATACTCTGAGATCAGTTACTGGTCTTGGATGGAAGGAACCACGCATGGATATGTGCCAGGCATGCAGAAGTCTGCAGCAAGGGCCCAGAACTAGCACACAGAAGGCAGCACAAGACAGCAGTGCACCAGCAGGAAAACATGCGTGATGCCCAGGCACGGGCAGGGAGAGGCCGCCCCCCAGCCAGCATCAACACAAGGAAACCCTGTGCCTGCACCACCGTGTTGCTCACCTGATGGCCTTGAGTACGTTAGCACATGCATCGCTTCATGAATGTGTGAAAAGCAGGACTGTAAGAGCACTCACTACTACAGGAACAAATATCCACCAGCATGCAAGCTGAAGGCTGTTTTTTTGTTCTGTTTTGGTTAGGTTTTTTCCCTCCAGGTACCCGGAGCTTCTGCAAGGAGTACTATCACTATCAAAGAGCCAGTGTGAATGAAATGTAAGAGGCTATGCTCCAGGAATCCCACATTTAGATCTCTCTCCCACATCAGATGACTGTACCTTCTTTGTGCCTGGTGCCAACAACTACTTCAGACCAAAAGGCCAAAAGACCCTTTCAATGTATGGAGTGAACCACGGGCGAGATGACCACTTAAAAACAATTTAACTTAGTGCAGTAAAGCTAGTATCAATACAAGCTCTCACCAGGAGTCTTTACAGGATCTGTCTGAATGGCACCTGCAACAGCTGGCAACCTCTGAGACAGAGGAAGCATCTCTGGAGATTCAGCTTCCTCTTCTCCATTCCAGTCATCCCAGAGTTTGGAGTTCAGGTCACTTGGTCTACAGCCTGTTGATGAACATGCCTCAATAGGACTCTTTTCAAGACAGAGCAAAGTTGTTCTTCTGCCAACAGGACTTCCTCGAAGAGGAGTACTGCCCTTAATTTCCTGTGCATGGACTAGGCTCTCCCACTGGTCATGCCACGAGCCAGGTCTGGCGCTGCTGGCTGTGCTGCTCTTTGCACAGCTGACCTGGCTGGAGTCCTGGCTGCTACCTCTGACTGGTGACAGATATTCAACATACCAGCAGTCATCAACGGGGATTGGGGGCTCGTCACAAAGCAAGACACTACTGCTCAAAGAAGGCAGACTTATTTCCTTTTCGCTGTCCTCTACTTCAATCACACTGGTATTTCTTCTGTCCTCCATTGATTGTTCATGGCACAAAGGCATAGATTTGGATAAAAATGAGATCTTGGCACATTTTCTTTTTATGTTGGTGTGGCCAGGGGAGAGGAGTACTGGATCCACAGGAGAAACCAGTGGGGAGTTCTTGAAAAATGATCCTGCTGCTGGGCTGCTGGGTAGGCTCTTTTCACTGAATGAGTTCTCCATAGGCAAATGTTTGTCTGACACTGTTGTTTCATGAACTTCTATTAAATTTCCAGTCATTTCATGGTTACTATTATCTGTTGCTAAGTTCTTTGGGCTGAGTTTAGATCCTAGACTCTTTAAAGAATTAATACTTGTGACATGAGTCTGTGTTGAGAAACTTCTGCTTCTGTTCAGAGCTGGTGTGTCTGGCACTAGCCAGGAGCTGTCTGTACCTGAAGACATTTCATGACCAAGCCTTTTCTCAGGGCTCAGGCTTGGACTCTGTTTGCTCTCTGTACAAGCATTTGTTTGTCTGCTGAGAGGCAATTCTGTAGACGTTTTTACATCATTACTTATATGCACTGTATCTGTAATGCCACATGAGACCTGGGTTGATCTCTGCTCTGTTTCAGCAACTGCTGAGTTATGTTCAGGTGTTGGTATCTCAGGACCCTCTTCTATGTCTGTACACATCAGTTGTCCAGGGATTTCCCTTTTCTTCAGAGCAGAGCCTGACTCTGACAACTTCTTATCTTGTAACTCCATTTCATCATCAGAAGATAAAACAATAACATCACCCTCCTTGTTCCTCTGAGCTGCAGCATTCTCAGTTCTGATGACCACTGAAGTATGCTTGTTTAAAGCAATGTGGGGAAACTCTGTTGGAGAAATTGTGTTCTCATTTCTGGATACAGTATCCAGCTCGTTGGCCTTCTGAAAGTGCATTTCATCAGATGGAAATGACTCTTCCATTTTGTTTTGCTTTGGTGTTGACACATGTTCTCTGGCAAACTTTCTCTCTGATTTTGGAGATGCAGGTGAAGAGCTAACAGCAGGAAAAAGAGGCACATAAGGTTTGGGAGGACTCCCATAAAAAACATTCCTACATGGAGAGAGGTCTTTTTGTGACTTGCTGTACAGAACTGAATCATTAACATCAACATGTTTTTCACTAGGGGCCTTTCCTGATTCTTTGATAACTTCTTTCATTGAGGGAGGCTCACAGTAATCTCCCTGACTTGCAGAAAACAAGCATTCATAACTTTCATTTATATCAGTATCACTGTGGAAGCTAGGAAACTGTTTTCCACAGGGATCTGCCTCATCATGTGAGACCCGAGATGACTCGGAATCCTTCATATCTTCACATCTCCTAACAGTCTCTCCTTCATTAGCGGTGGCACCATGGGATGCTATGTCCCATTTTTGAGGTTCACTGTGGTGAGGCACAAAAGTGGTCTGTGGATCATTCACGCTCTTGCACCTATTTATATTCTGCATTTTCTCTTCTTGTGCAGACGAGTCACATTTAGATCTTTCCACATCATTGTCATCCCTCAAATCTTTGAAGCTGTTGCTTATTGAAGCAGACTCAGATCTCTTTACCTCTTCTTCCTCAGTTCGCTGGTTTGTACCTTGGGCTGCTTCAGTATCACTGCAGACGCTGCAGTCTGTTCCCTCGCTCACCTCTGTTTCATCTTGAACCATCCTTCTCTGAGTTGCAGCAAACTCATAGATTTCCTCCAGCTCCTGTTCCCCCACCCCATCGTCATCTTCCTTCTGGCATTCAGGGTTCAGCATAGCTACTTCTTCCTCATCTTCACCCACCCACACTGACTTCAAGAGATCTTGGAAGTTCTCAGCTCTGTCCTCACAATCTTTGTCATCCCTCACAGAGATATGATCATCTTCTGAATCCACTCCAGAAGACACCTGACTCTCTCCAGTGTTGTTTTCACACTTTGCCATCAGTTCCCTCACACCAAACCTGTAATGATATAATAGTAATGTTAGTATTTTCCTCCTCCAGTATTTCTTCACTATTTGGCTGTTCACTCTTGTGAGCCTTGTGTAAGAATTTGCATGAGGATGTTGGTTTCGTAAGATGTCCAAGATCCCGTATACTCCTAAAATTTGGAATTCCCTTTTCCAGGTGTCACCCACACAAAAGCATGAGGCTCGCTCTTCTTTTTTATGTTCAAGACTAAACAGCCATATGACTACACTAAAACCCCTTTGCCATTTGCACTGGTGAGAGCCCCGTGGCATGGCTGGGGCTGGATAATGTCTGTCATGTGCAAGCTTCATGGCTTCCTGGAGTGACAGTACATTTATTTTGGCAAGATCGAACCATTTTCCCCCCACATCTCAGCAACTGCTCCTATTTCAAGCACTTTACTCAGCACACACCTGGGATCATGACCGAGAGCACGGCTGACACAACGCATCACAGTTCTAAACATCCAATACATCCTGCAAAGTGCTGTTCAGATTAAATGCACCGCTAGTGCAATGCTTTGAGGATCACATATAGAAGATACACTCATCATCGTCAACATCCTGAGACGAAACTCTTGGCCAAAGTCTGCTAAGAATATACTGAATATAGAAAATCACACAGATATGACCTGAAGAGAGACTCATGGAAAAGATTAGAGTAGGATGTTCTTATGGGCAAGTTTCATTTAAGATAAAAGCAGAGAACTGTGGAGTTTGTAAGCCACTAAAACTGCAACAGAATATATCAAGTTGGGGCCTGTGTGGCTGAAAGCATGAGGGGATCCAAAACATGCTCACAAGACAAACCTGGCAGCCAGAGCCCCGACCTGGGGCAGCACCCCAGCAGGGATGTTGGCATCAGCAGCATAAAGGTACCGCAGGAATGCACACACTGCTTCTGCCGTCACGTCACTCAGCAGCACACGGTGTGTCTGCGCAGTCCCATCCTCCTCCACTAAAAACCCTTGGCTGTGAACCTGGAGTAAGAAGAAAACAAACAAAGTCTGTTTGCTAGTAAAGGAGCAGCAACACCAATGCTCTTGCTCCTATCAGCTTACTCATTTTCATTCGCCAAAGTGCTACCCTGGGACCAGGACTGATGCCTCCGAGGGAAGCTGAGATGACCAGTTATGCAGAGCTTCATACAGAACAGGTCATTTCCTTCCTGACCCTACAGCTGTTAGCTTTGATAAAGTTTATTAATCACACATATAAAAGTCTTAGAGTTCTCCAGTTAGTTTTGGAATTAAATTACTTCCAGAACACAACTTCCACAGTTTTCTACACCTCTCTACAAGTGAGCTTCCTCTGATCTGTTTCAAATTTACCTACCCTCGATGCACTGCCAAAACTCTGGTGCCTCACAGGAAGAGACACCATACAAAATACCACTACACTGAACTGGACCGTTACCTCTGTGGGTCCAGCTTGATCTCAGGTTTTGGTGAAAATGCATCTGCAGTGAAGTGAGGTCTCACTTCCTTTCCAGCCAAATCACATACTGTGGTATCTGAAACTCTCCAAACTTAGGGGATGCCATGCAACAGAAAACATGAGCTCTGAATTAATCTCTGATTAATTCCTCTCTCCTTGTTACCCAAAATGTGCAACAAAGAGGAGCACTCCCTCACCTATAGAGAAAATAAACACGAAATGCTGCTCTGCAGGTGGGAACTTACAGGAAAACCACCCTCTGCAGGCATCAAAAATACAGCATAGGGCCAATTCCACATCTCTGCCCACACAGTGGATCGGAATGCTGAAGCCAGAGCTGCAGGGAAATAGAAAAGGGCTAACCTAATAGTTTTTTAAGTCCTTTGATTTGTGGGCACACACATATTTACTGTAAGTTGTGAAGATTCCTTAAAAAATTCATATTAAGACTGCTGTATGAATTTGCTTCCCCTCCCTGAACTTTCGTGGACCCCTCAGAAATGGCCTGAGTCACCTTGGGTGGAAACTACTGCCAATGGCCATGAGGATAAAACTAAACTTTCCAAAAAGGCAGCTTCAAAGAAAGCTCCTTTTATTAGGAAGCTGGCTGTATGGACTAGTGGCAGCTCCATGAAAGAACGGAGTTCAAATGTTAGGCTCGGTGCCTTTCACTGTCCCGACAGGAGGCTGCATAGGAACAGGCTGAGAGTTATTCAACCCAAAATGCTTCTGGGAACATATGAACTCCTTCACTAGCTTTGTAAATAGCCCAGTTCAGTGCAGCTACCTCCAAAGCAACTCTGAGAGTGACAAAACCTCTGTGGAGGTTATTCTCAAGTGCTTCCCAGAATCTCGCTACTCCATACTCAAGCTTCCCAGCCTGGGTGACAGGCAGAACACACCAAGATGGACAAGGCAGTCTGCACTTGCACGGGTACAAATATTCCAGGGCAAAAAGTACTTAAGAAGCTTCCTCCATTGCTCATGGGCAGAATGCAAGGAAGGATCCTTGCCTCCCTACAGTCCACCCAGATAAAGCACCACATTTTCCACCACCTTGTCAGGATTCTGGTTTCTGGAAAAACCAGTGCAGGTGCAGAGGCACTTGCCATTAGGCCCAGCAGTGCTCTGTGCTGATTCTGTCACATTAAGTGTAGGGGTGGGCAGTCTGGACTTTCCTGAAGCAGAGAAGGAAAGTGAGTCAGCAGTACTTACAGCCTGAACGGCCTGTGGACACCGTGCATACAACACAAACATGTGGGCATAAAGCACTTCCCCACAGTCCACCTGGAACTGGACGTCACTTAAGTGGGGGTTGTTGACCATTGCACTGAAATCTTCAGCCAGCAACCTGAGAGAGGACTAGAACACAGAAGGAACACACAGACAGAAGTTACATTACAGCTGTCCAACATTCCCCTGAAAAATAAGAAGGGAATAACCCAGTTTATCAGTGTTACTGTACCATGGGGCCCAGTCTGGATACACTGCTTTTGCCTCCTGAGGACAGTCGTCAGCATTACCAACTTCATGTCTTTCATATGACAAATAAGCAGACAAGTCTAACAAACATTTCTGTCTTTGTTTTCCTCTTTTTTCAGTCTGACAATTGTGAAGAAAGAGTAGTTGTGTTGTGTTGTGTTCTACTGTACTTGTTCTGCCTCATATTACAGCACATTATCACCCTCAGATCTTCACCACACCATTTCCTGATGTGGTCTAGCCACTGCCTACAGTTGGTCTCTTGATCTACTGCCTTCCACCACATTTTTAGGAAACTGTAATTTCCACTTTGACGGACTTGAACTCAGTTCACTATAATTAGAGGAAAGAGGATGACTCAGGGATGGGGTAATGAGCCTTTCTTCTCCCATTCACTGTCTCGCAAAGACAGCTGAGAAGAACAGCTCTGCAACAAGGGGCTCACATAGAATAAAACTGATATAGGTGTCTAGTTTAAAGGAACTTCTGTGCTTGTTACTGAAACCCCTTTTGAAAATTCTACTCAGTTATAAAAAAGAAACATAATTTCTATTACTGTTCTAGAATGCCTTGCTGAGATTTTGGGCAGGGCTTTTTGACTGAGCTACCTGTGACTGGTTACTAGTGATGGTAAGGTCAGGCCTGGGGCATGGTGCTGAAGACAGCATTGGTGAATGCTCTGCTTCTGCTCTGGAGCTGCTCCCAGTACAAAACCACCCCAGGCAATCCTCTAAAGACTCAGATCCCTCTAGGCAAGTGTTGCAGCTCTGGAGGTGGCCAGTGCTTCAGAGAAGTGTGAAATACCCTCAGCTCACGGTTGAGAGGCTGCCTGACTGTAAGTTGGAACCACTGTAAGTTGGAACCAGTTTATAGTTAACACACTAATCACTGACCTTGTGTTTTTCAAACCTACTGCAGAGCTGAGGAACTGCAAGCTTTATTTCAGTGAACATCTGCATGAGATGCAGACCCACCTGGAACAACATCGCTCTTTATTTTATTAGCAGGTTTCTACATTAGCAGCGGACCATGAAAACCCAACCTTTCTACTCACTCCAGCATGTGTTTGCAGGCAGCCAACACTAATTAGCACCAAAACAGCAGCATCCACCAAAACACTCCTTCCAGGCCTTCATAGGTGGGCTAGAGAAGACTGCATGCCGTGGCAGTGGTGTGGACTGATCTCCAAGGGGAAGACAGGAAACTCAGTCTGGAAACTAATCTGATGTTTCTTGCTTTCTTATTCTTGGCAGGTAGGATACCTGCAAGACAGTACCTCAGGAAGCCAGCAAACACAGACTCCTGATGCTACGTTCCAGGCAGCAAGCCCAGAACAGCTTTCCTGCTGATGCTAAAATTATGAATCAGGAATGGGGAAATGAAGTAAGGCTAGAAACCTCCTGGCTGCACCATCCTCTGTGCAAAGCAAACAGACTGGTCTGAAGACAGGTCCGAGTGGGCATGTGCTCCTGTTGGAGAACATACCAGAACACTCTCTCCTACCAAGGAAGCCAGCTAGGCTGAACTCCACAAATGTGACAAGTGTCTTAAGTATGGGTGAGGGATGTGTCACCCATGCAATGGATGTATTTGCTCTGCATGGTTACACTCTGTCTGTGCTCATATAAAGCAGAAACCTCTCCCACTGGCAATCCAACTCTTCAGCAACACTTTTATTTGCTCAGGAAAACTATCATGGAATCAAACTAAATCTGAAAAACTGATCAAACTGGTTTTGCGGGTAGTAACCGAGTTTCAACAACAGCATCAAAACAGTTTCTGTATTGCTAAAGGCCTCTGGTTTAATAGACTCAGAAGCTTATAAAACGTGGTTTTCCTGCTAAGGATTTTTTTTTTAAATACCCCCAAAGAATATCTAGAGTTCCTGTAACAAGTAGCTGGGATGCTTAAGTTTAGTAAATTCCCACCTCACAGAAATGACTCCTTTTAGAAGTCTCTTAGGAATATATTAATATGAAATGAATATGAAAGTGCTTTCTCAAGGCATCAAAATTTATCTGGCATCAAAAGCTACCAGCTTTCATAGCATGATTATTTATTATCAAACAAAGATAGTAAGTTTCACCAGATAAAGTAGATGACCATGCTAAGAAGTTCAATTAGGGTGGTTTTTTATATGCACTTCAATTGAAGAAAAGTGATTATATATCCATGGAGAATTACATATCCACTGGTGCATCTGGGGTAAGATGTGATCTACAGAACACTAGTAGCTTGATACAAAGGTCATTTGTGACTTACTCGTCTGTATTCTTCACCCAGTCACCACAGAGAGCACAGATTTTTCAAGCTAGATCCTCTGACATGTGTTCCCACAATTGAGTATTTTCTATACTAAACCTTTTAAAAGCTCACATTAGCAGCAAAAAAAGTGCTCATCTTCCCTCACTGCATTCCACATCATCAACCAGGCTTTTATGCCAGATGAGAGAATTTAGTGCAAGTCAGCCAGTCCTTGCAAGAAGTCTCTCTTCCACTGCATAGCACGGCATGGAGAGGAAGGTGTCAGAGGAGGAACAGCTCCGTCCAGCACCACTCGAAGTAGCTGGGTGTTGAGCCTGCAGGAAGCACCAGGCAACTCTGTCTCTCCTGGGCTGCAGACAGTTTCCTCTTGGATAGCGTGGGCATTAAAGCAGAGTACTGCCTAACGTGGTGCAGCTGCATCCCTAGTTCCTACCCCCAAATACTCCTAGTGCTGTAACATAACTCTTTAACCTGGTTATCTTTATATAAACTATGCACAAATTTGCCTTATGTTACCTGTTTTTTAAATCATCTCTCTCACAGGTAGGACAAGTACTGAAATGAAATCGATGAAATAGCACCTCATGTGCTCATCTTACCTGTGCCCATGATGATTCCTGCATGACTGTGAACCTTAAGCACCTCTTTGTTTCTATGGAAAGGAATGGGAAATACTCCATACTTCTACAAATTCCACAAATGCATTAGCTTCTTTTTTACAGTGACAAATTTTTTAAAAAGTGAAAAAAATGGGTTGTCCTTACTTTTTTACAGCTGCTCATCAGGAGGCCCTTCTCTTTGGATGGAGGTACAAAGCCACTATGTGAAGCATCACTGGAAGTCACTTCTTTTCCTCAAGGAAGAAAATGCACATCACAAATCACATACAACTTCTCTGTGAGACACAGTGATGTAAGAACTCCTAACAGGATCCTTGCCATGACAGCTCCCTGAGACAGCTGCTATAACCAGCCTGACTGAGCTGAAGGCTCAGCCTCTCCCTTGGGCCTTCTCTGGCGGTTTGGCTCAGGTTGTGACAGGCAGTGGGTACCTCAGTACTGCTCAGCCATGAGCAGCACCATCTACTGCAGACCCATGTGTGCCATAATCATCCTGGAACTGCGGTGAGGAGCGTGCTTCTCTGCTTTCACGTCTCAGTTCTCCTCCAGTGGGAGGAAACTATGACACAGAGTGGGATGGGACATGCCACGGTCTCATCCTAGCAGACAGGCAGAATGTATCTGGGATCTGCATTTCAACTTAAGACAAAATGCTGTGGGTCCTTGTGCTCAGAGGCAGCCAGTGAAATGAGTTTCGCACAGCCTGACCCCCGTGGTAGGCCCCAGAGTGCACAGAACAGGATGCAGGACAAGAGAAAGAACTGATGTCTTCAGAAATGGCTTCTGGTGCATCTGTGTCTGCACAGTTTTTCTCCACCTATCTCATTTACACACACAATATACATTTATGCGTGGAAATGATTCCCCTCACCCAGGAAGTTTACCTTCACTGAAATCCCAGGAGTACTTTTACAGGACCAGGAATCATTTGCTGCAGTTTAGTAGGGGAAGTGAGGAATATTATGCCCAAGTGAAAATGCAGACAGGTGAATTTAGCAACCATGTTCTCTTTCACAGGTGAACGGGAGACACACAACACATTCTGCTGAACAGCCAGGCCATTTTAAGGGATATCACTGACCTTGAAATGTGCAGTTGTGCACCACATGCAGCTATGACTGGGGACATTAGAGTTGCCCATAGAGGAATTCTAGGTGGCGTAATTTTTCAACTCTGTGTAAGTGCAGATAAACTTCAGGTTTGTGTAATTGATGTACCAAAATAAAATCATCCCTCTTGCATACCTCTCTCACCCAATTGTCTCAAGAGCTGAAAAGACAGCGCATATAACAGAAAGACTGTCCAAACAGCAGGGATGAGGAATTTGTCCCAGCTGTTGAACATGTCCAGGCTCCTTCCTGGCAGAAAATACTTTGATATCTTTATAGGAATTTTAAAATAAAATTTAGTATCTGCTGTCCAGGAGTTCTCTTAAATGCCGGGATTTATGAACCATTTCAGAAATGTCTGTCTTGACTGTATCTAAAGCTTACTGCAGAAAAATGTCTCCCCGCAGTATCACCTCTTGGATCAACAACATTCTGTGGGTGCTGTCACAGCTCTCCTAACTTAGCACACCCAAGTCTGGCTCTGAGGCACCAAGGACAGGGCTCACAAAGCTGCCAGAACTTACCTGCCTGCTCTGCTGCCTGAACGTGGTCAACATCAAGGTTCCACTGAGTAAGGGTAAGTCCTTCCCTGGCCAGCTCCACTAGGTCCTGCAGGGTCTGGACATCCTTCTGGCTGTGAGATAAAAACTGACCTTCTACTTCACAGCCAGACTTGGATTCATCAGAAGGTTGGCCTGCAACCTCTGTGCAAGTGGGCTCATGAGAACTGAGGTCAGGCTGAATTTTCTGGGATGCTTTTGGCTGATCAGATTCCACACACGGCAGAAGGTTCTCTGGTTTATGATTCTGATCAGAAAGGGAGGAAGGAAAGACACAATAAATTAGGTTTCGTTTTATGTATTTGAAGAGTTCAGAGTACAGTCTCTACTTCATACTTGTGAAACATCTAGTAAAGGATTACAGAGCATTCCCCAGGTTTGGGGGCTTCTGAGACAAAAGGTCTCTGCAGTTTTCTGAAGGACTCCAGATATAAAACAGCTCTGAACAGGAGAAAGGAAACTACAACAGAAAATGCAGAAAAGGTGGTTTCTCCAGGAGCATGTCTGTGCAGGCAATTGCCAAGAAGGGAGAAAGGATGGTGGAAATGCTCCCACTCCAACATCTAAATATTTCACTATAGCTGGAGCGCCTGGCAACAGTCACAGCTGAAGCTCTCCAGGTGCTTCTGTTCTGAGTTCTGAAATGCTTTTGCAGTTACATGTAACTAAATCAAACTTTCACCTTAGAGCTGATATTTTCCAGGTTTGGTCTCTGTTTCCCAATAAAAATAGTTGTGTTTGTTTATTTCTGAGTAAAAATGGTTTAGCCATTTCTGTGAATGGAAAGAATTAGAGGGAAAACACACTCTTGCCATGATTTTAACAGCCTTTCTACTTTTTATTTTTAAACCTCTCTGGCACTTTTAAGTTTGAACGAAAGGTCAAAAATCTTAATAGAATGGAGTCCCTCCACTACAGCCCTAGCCTGCAATAACTGTGAAAAAATCTGGTCTTTGAGTAGGAAGAAGCATTAAATAAAGCACCTATATACGCACAATAGTTTTTGAACAGCAGCACCAAATAATTCTTCAAGGAAAGAAAGAGGGAAGGAAGAGAAGTGACATCCTTCTTCTCGGAGAGCAAGTATGTCATAAGATGAGAGACTAAAAGAGCTTTGTCTATTTCTGCAGGCACTTTTTATAAAAATACAGAGCACTGAAAGAGGCAGAAGATCTAGGTGGAAACTGGAATGAAATAGTGGAACTGAAAGCTGGATCAAAGCTCATATGCACCAAGAGGCAGCAGGATGCACAAGGAAAGCCTGAAGAGCAAATGATTGACTTTACAACTTTAGGCACTCCCATCTTCTCCTCTGTGCAAGACAAATATCAGTCCTCAGTTTAAACTTTTCACCCAGATCCTTCCTGAGTGCAGTACATGGGCAAAGCTCATACTAGAATTGATCAAAGAAAAGTGCCAAGAAGGAAAACAAGAGTCAGGCTGCCGTAATCAGGGACAAACTAGTGGCAAAAAGAGCAGTATGGGATCCCTTACTCAGTACTCTCTGTTCCCATCAGTTTTATTTTTTGAAAGCTCAAGGAATATAGTTGTAACATGAGCCTCAGTCTCCTCTCCAAAAGGGAGAAATGAAAGTTCAAAATCATAAAACTTAACTGTGTAAGACCAGGGGACAAGAGGGCATGAGAAGTGAGTATGCAGAAGCAGAGGATCACTTATTTAAATACCAAATGAGGAAACAGAAGGGTTACAGGGCAAGTGAACTATGGCACACAAATATCAGAGCAAGGACAAAAGAGCATCCCACCTGTACAGGCTTCCAAGGTACAATTGGAGGGGTTAATGCAGCAGCGTAGAATGATTCCAGGTCGTAGTGTCCTGTCAGAGCACTGATATTCCATAAAAAGCACTCCTTGGCTTTGGACAATGGCAAGAGCCAGGTCGCTTTCCCAGATTCATCCTCCAAAATCCTACTCGTGGGAAGCTGAGGGGTGGGAGGGAATTCCACTTCTTCTGCAAGCAGCATAGCTACTCGCTCTTGGATCCTTTTGCGGGCCTTTTCCGGGTCCTGAAGCAGTAATGGTGGAGGTGCAGTTGGGCCTCTTTTACGCCGTTTTTTCTCTTTAAAAAGAAAAGGAAGAGGAACTCAAATAAATAAACAGCTGCACACATAGGGCAGAGGAACTCAACATGCCAGCTCCTTCAAGTGCTGTAGTCAGTGATGATCAAAAGGCAGGTACCAGCTGAACACAACTCTTCAGATTTCTGCAGGTAGTCTGAAGCCTCATATCACCCTTATGGGAGAAATGAACTCCAGAAAAAACTGACTACTGCTTGTGCCACTCTGCTGCCTGTTGGGAGCTGTCACATCTCTACAAAATCTGATCGTTATGGAAGCAACCAATATCCATGCAGTCTCCTTCCCAGACCCATGGAAGAGTGCCTGTATGGCAGTGCTTCACAAAAAAAGGAAGAGAAAGACACCAACAAATCCATGAAGGACTCCTTTTCTAGTGTACTGGTCACTGATGATATCAAACCACAGCTCACACAAACACTGAGCAGCTTTCATCTGGAAATTCTGTGTCTTACTACATTTGCCTTACTAATGCCCAACCCCAAATCCAACTGGGAGTACTTGTTGGCAGGAGGAGACCTGACCAGGGTCATAAAGAGTAACATCTCCCTTTCTACACAGCACTCAACGTTCTCCTCTGGCAGCTGTCTTCCTTCCTAAACCTTTCTGCACACTGAAATAGTGAGGCACATGCTCAAGAGCATGTAGTATGCACTTCTGTCCACCACAGAAAGAAAACAGAGATAAGAGATAAGGCTGAAAAAGCTGCATTAATTCAGGTTGCAACAGGATGAATAGAAAAAAATCTACTGCAGGAGAAATAACAATAATCTTTCCATGTTATTTCTTGTCACTTCCATGGTTTACAAAAAACAACAGCTTATCTTAAGAATATTTTACAGATTCAGAATAATCAATCACTGGAAAAAAGCACAGGATTCCTAAGGGATTTCACTGAAACCTATGGGCATCCTGAAGCCTTTCTTGACTGTGTGTGGATAGTGCATATTGTTGAAGCTCTGACAGCTTAAATAAAACAAAACCAGGGCTGTCATCCCTCCTATACCCACAGGAAAGTTTTAGCGAAGATCAGGTTGTCTTACATTACTCTCCAATAACACAGCCTGTGACACTAACTCGCTTTAACACATACCCGATCCTGGCTTCCATTTGATGGGGAAAGCAGCCACTGGTTTCACATTTGTAACCGATTTTGCTTGTTCCTGCTTTTCTTGCTCCAACAGAGAGCGTGACATTGCCATAGCAACCAGCAAATCTTCATCCTTAGTCTCCATTTTGGCCCTCTTCTGCATTTTCTTTGAGTCCTCTTTGGAGGAGCCTTTTCGCTTTGACCTGTTTGGTTGATTGCTGAAATACAAGAATGCAGCAAGAAACCGAAGTTAATGTGACTGGATTGGAGACAAGAAACACTGAGCACTCCAGACCAGCTGCAATACTTGCTCAGAGAGATTCCTGTATCAAAGATAATGAAAAACTATTCAGTACCTTCTTCCCTAGCAGGGAGCAAAGGGTTCTTATTATCCATGGAATTTAGGGCAATTCAGAGAGTCTTATTTTGAAAAGGTAAGCACAAGACCACAGCACTTCTGTAAACATCTGCTATCTCTACCTTGAATGCTTTTTTGTACCAAAGGGGAAAAAACAAGTTGAAGCAGGGCAAAACCAAGATGACCAGAAAATGCTTTCCCACTCTTCTGCTTCCACAGGGAACAGGCAACGGTCCTTGCTCAGTACAAAGAGATTTACCAGCCCTTCTACAAATTCAGTCAGGCACCACTTGCTGTACTCTGAAGATTCTGCTCAAATCCAAGACAGCAGATGCAGCTCTATACCGAGCACATTTCAAAACATCACGTCTGTTTCCTCTTTGGCTTGGGATGTAAAGCACATACATCCAGGACAGCCACAACCCGAATAGCTGAGGCATTGGCACGACAGAAGAGGAGAGACTGTATACTCGTACTATGTGGTTTGCTTAATAAGCTCAAACACACCATTCAGCTTTACTGCATAATCGCCTCATAGAGCACAAGTAATTCTGACAAACCAGTGAAAGGTTATTTGTTCCCCATTTTGCTCCTGCCTGCTGACTTTTAAAGTCATCCACCACCTGACCACTTCTGAAGGAAAACAAGATGATTTCTCCAACTAACTACCCCATTCTCCTCATGTGGTACTGGGTCACGGCTCTACTTGACCTTCTCTGAACTTGAGGCCCACCCAGCACGCAAGCCTGCCTTGTTTCTACCCTTCATCCCCAGGAGTACAGGTTCAATGTCTCTCAGGCCAAAGAAAGTAACCAGCATCTTTTATCTTTACCAGCTTACCTGGGACACTGAAGAGGTGCATCACCAAGTGTGGACACCTGCAACTGCACCGCCTGAAGAAGCAGCTTAGGAGGAACATCCATCTCGACAGCACAGCGTTTCAAGTGACTGACTCGGCTCTGTGAGGTCTGGAACTGCTTCCCGCAGATGGGACATTCAGGGACCAGTGGTCTGCTGGAGGCTGACATCTGCGCTTCTTCCATCTCATCCAGACACCTGTGAGATGATGGCAAAACTCACCTCTAAAGACTTTAAAACTATGCATGCTAAGATTTAAACCATATTAAAGAAAAGGAAGCACAATCATCTCTAATATCTGTAACAGCCAGAAACATCCCCTGAAGAAACAAGAATTACATACCCACTGCTGTGATTAATATGACATGTAACAGTTACATGGAGATTATGGCCTCAGAAGCATATTAAAAACATGTTGCTCAGAAGCAAGTGCAGGTAATAACCTTCTTCAACTAACCTTCCTCAGTAGGTGTTCATCACCTAATCCCTCTTTCTGCATTCATTCTAACATTCCAGCTAATTTATGAACCACTGCTAAAAAAATGAATCACCCTACCAGAGAAATGGTAAATTTTCCTCACCCAAAACTTAACTACTTCTTGTCTTTCATACTGCTTTTGCAGGCATGACCACATGCAGTGTCAAGAACACAAGGGTTTTCAAGTCAGGTATCTCACTTGACAAGGACAGTGGTTTATGTCACAGAAAAGGGAGCAGCTGAAATCAATGCTGCACTCAGGAGTACAGGATGATGATCTTCTAATAATTTCTGGTGGGCCAAAACTATGTAAAAAATTCAAATAATTCTTTTTCTGTCCTCTCCAAAGAGATTCAGGGTGTGAAATCCTGGATCTGCAGTACTTATTATAAAAATCACTCTCTAATTAGGTAATGACACACACTACCTACATACACAGGGTTGTGTTAAGAGACCATTCATCTGATGCACTAGGACTGGTGATTACTAGTTTGCCTGTGCATCTATCCATCTACAGCTCTCTTGTGATGATTCATGGCCCTCTACAACTGCCTGACAGGAGGGTGCAGAGAGGGGGGATGAGCCTCTTTAACCAAGTAATAAGCGATAGGACAGAGGGAATGGCCTCAAATTGTGCCAGGGAAGGTTTAGACTGGATATTAGGAAGCATTTCTTTGCAGAAGGGGTTGTTGGGCGTTGGAATGGGCTGCCCAGGGCAGGGGGGGAGTCCCCATCCCTGGAGGGGCTGAAGGATCTGGTGGAGTTGGGGTCTGTCAATGTTGGGTTGATGGTTGGACTGGATGATCTTCGAGGTCTTTTCCAACCTAGACAATTCTGTGATTCTGTGAAGACTACAAAAAAAAATCCATTGCTTATATAACCTTGTAATCTCATATGATTACATGCTTAATATTTCAGACAGCAGACTTAATTTCCAAAAACCATTTCTGACACACTGTCACTGTTTTACAACCTCTATCCTCTCAAGCAGCAGTAAATACATGAAGCCAGAAACAACAATAAGACCTCTAAAGCTGCAGGTGCAGACAACCCTAATGAATGTGAGCTACTCAATAACATGACGTAAGACCGGACAAATGAAAACAATTTTGCCTTCTGAAAGTGCTCAAATTAAGAAATTGCAATCATTCAAATGTGCTGTTTCTGATACTTTCTCAACAGACAAGCATAGACTTTTAAATTACAAAGACCTATCTGTACATAAAATATTAACAGTACTTGATATTTACCACTAAGGGGGCTGTTAAGTTAAGGGCACTAATTTCAGCTTAGTCATCTTTCCGAATAGCATCACCTTTCCCCCTGCACATAGCTCAGATACAGACTGAAATATCAGATGTTCTTACATAAACAATTTTTAGCAAAATAGGGCAAACATTACTTTGTCGGCTGAAATCGGTAGATCTCAAAATCTGCAGCAGTGGGTCCACATTAATTTTGATAGCCCCTTTACAATCACAGCTCCTCTGCCACACTGCTGCTGAAAGCAGCACTGGCCTTACCATGCACATGCAGAAGCCCTGCAGGGCAAGACAATTGGCCTCTGCTCTGAGATCAAGCTGACTTGTTAATTCAAGCCATAAAGGTCAATGCCACCATGCAGATTCCCCTGCTGCCATGTTCTTTAATGGCTGAGTGAGGAGCCGATGAGGTTAAGGGGGAGAGGATCCGTAAAGGACACACCATGTTGGTCTTTCACCTGTTAACATGCTGCTCTCGGCGCGTTGTGTTCATGGCTGAGAGATCCTTCTGGCAGATCTGACAAAAAAACAAGCCTGCATCCTCCAGGCTCGCCAGGGCTTCCTCTTTGGTTTCCTGCTGAAGAGCCAAAGCCAGAGCACCATCATGCTCCATGGATGGAAGTTGGTGAGCATCTGGCAAAGAAGGGAGAGATGACCTAAGACAGAAAACTAAGAATCCTGTATGAAAGGTGTGGAGCTGTTATATATACTTGTCATTATTAGTTTATTAAATCAGACACATAAAAATGAATTGTAATCTTTCTCTTGCATCTTCCCATCTGATCTCTCAGATGGGAATGTACAAACTGCTCTCTCTAAATGCTACAGGACTGCACTAGCCAAGGAGCAGGAGGTGGCAATTTGTTCACAGTACATCACATGTCAGAGCCAAATGAAGGGTAAATTTTAGCTACAGTTTCTGGAGAGAACATGGGGTCTTAGACATTACATATTAAAGCACAGATTTTCACGTGCATATAGAACCAACAGGGTTCTATAAAGGACCAAACCAGAGTAAAATTGCTGTGAATTCAATCCATCTGCACAGAATGTATTACCTTACAGAGTGCTTGGAGATCTACCAAAGATGGGGGCTACCTAAGAATCTTATTTACCTAACAGCTACCTAACACCATCCTGAGGGAATGATGACAAAGTTCACTGATCCTGCTGGAATCTCAATCCAAGAAAACAATTATCCTTCTGGAATCTAACATGAGGTTAATTCAGCCTTTGAGAAGAGCTGGGAGAAAAGTCCTTTGACAACAGAGAAAGCAAGTTTTCTCAGTGATCTGGAGTGATTTATTCAGTGCTGCACACTGAGCCACTAGGCTAGCTGGGAAGAAAGCCCAGGAATCTGGACTGCTTCTCATGCAACCACTCTCACCAGCCCACAGCACTCTTTCTGCACATGCAAGAGCTAACAGGAGAAACGTACCATTCTCTGGTGGGTTCTGCTCCTGGATTTCATCAGGGAAATCCCCGCTGGCTACAGACTTTGGCAAACTATCATCTGTGCCGTGTTTTAGCTGCTCAGGTGCCACTCTCTTGAACTGCTGCATTCTCTCCACTACCAGCTCTGCCACCCGCATCTTTGACCCTGCGAGCAGCGGTATCTTTGAGGTGGGTGAAGAGCAGGTCCCTGGCTGTGTAGCAGGATGGAAGGATAATGTAGTCTGGGAACAGCCATTCAGAGTATTTACTAGAGGGGTAGAAAACACCAAAGATTTACCAGTCAGTTAGCTGAGCTGCCCAGAGAGCTGCTGGGAAGCCTTCCCCAACAGCAGCCTAAGCCAGGCTCAGTTTTGCAACAGCCATTCCTACAGGAAGAACTGAACAATTCGTTTATCTATTACATGATTTGATACTTCATCATCTCAGTAACAGTATCAGGCTTCTGTGCTACAGTTTAGGTATTTCTATATCCGTTTTAGAGGAAGGAATATTAGGGAAGGCATTGCCTGAAGGTCACTAGCAAGAACAATAAGCAAGGCAGCCCTACACCCCTCTCACCCCAGCATTCCCACTGCAGAAAGTCCTGTGGTTCCTGCTGTTTTCTGCTCTGATCTCCAAACCCTACCTGTGGCTCAAACTTTCAGGCTCTGAGCTGAAGGAACCCGGAGTTCCCAAAGACAGGTGGTAACAAGCAAGAGGCAGAGGCAATGCCAGACTAACACCTCACCTACTACTGCTCTGCTTGAGGTATCCTGTGGATACGGGCAGCGTGCAAGATGGGACCAAAGATCTCACCAGCCCAATATCTTGTCTCTGAGTGCAGCCAGCAACACATACTTAAGAAAGGGTGATCAGGACAGGACAGGTACAAAATAATCCTTTTCCTGGCCGACCTTATTTATCAGTTTAAGGACTTCCTGCACAGGTGACTGCATTCTGGCTATCATGTTTAATAACCACTGAAGGACTAATTCTTTATGAATTAATCCAACACCTTTCTTAACTTGCTCACATTTTTGGCCTTGACAACATCCAGCAGCCATATATTTCACCATACAATGATGCACTGGGTGAAAAAGCACCTCAATATATTCTAAGCTTGCTTCTAGATGATTTGAGGGTGCTTTTCTCAGTTCTGATAGTGCAAAAAGCAGTGAATAATGACTCCTCAACACATCACTTAGTAACAAGGCTTCACCTTACTGAAGGACATCTTTTGCCTGCCTGTAGCACAGAACACACTCCTAAGTTAAAGCCCTAGATAAGCCTAAGTAGCTAAGTGTAGATGAAAACACAAGATGAAAGCCTGCTTCAATCAGTGCTGCTGTATGTCCCCTCCAGGTGGATTTCTGAAGATCTCCACTGAACTACAGAGTCCTTTTTAGTCCTAGCCTATTTTCTGTTTGAAAGACTTTGGTTCACTCACCTGTCAGAGTCCTCTGGCTGCACTCACTGGTCACTGTACTCAGCTGGCTGGCAGGGAGAGGGCTTCTCTTTCCATCCCCTTGCACAGTCTCACCGCTACTACAGGCCACAGTGTCAGAATCTTCTTTGTGCACCAAAGTTTGTTCCTTTAAACTGAAATCTTGAGGCAAGTTTGTTTCCTTCGCTGCTGGTAAGTGATGATGGTTTTGGCTCTTAGCAGCAGCTTTGCCTCTTCTTACTTTGCTTCTTGTTGCAGTGCTCTTTGACCTGTTCTGAGCCCTCTTCGCTGACTCAGCATCCCCAGCTTTTTTCTTTGCTCGACCCAAAAGATTTGCCCACAACTCTTTAAAATCATTGTCCTGTTCATCCATCGGCCTGCAGGTTTCAGTAACACTGTGGCCTAATGACACTGTGAGGACTGGAGGGCCAGGGGAGATACCAGAATCAGTTCAGGTTTGCATCATCTGCGACCTGCAATTTTCAGCAATTCTCTTCCACCACCACAGAGATCTCCATTCCCCAGACTTCAGTGAGGTCAGCAGAGTAAGAACTGCTTTGCTGTTCTGACAGTTCATTCTTCCATCCTTAATTCACAGCCATTTAGCAGTGCACATTCTCCAAGGACCCCACCTGCTTTTACAAGTTTATTCTTCAGATGTCTCTAGACCATTAAGTCAAGCACCTCAGTTTGTGCAGAGCAGGCATAGGATCTTCATGATATGCTACAGGGCTTCAGAAAGACACTTACTACAGCCCTTAAACAAAGAAATAAAAAAAGGTGGTTATGTAGGATGGTATATGCAGATGTAGTGTGGGACAGGGCTGGTGTAGAACTTTGAAGGAGGAGAGAATTTGTATAAAACAGGAAGATTAAAAAAAGCGCGTATTAACCCAAAACACTATCTCTGTAATTGTACTACAGACACGCACAAGCCACATTAGGAATGAAGAGGAAAGCCTTCAAAACAGATATCTGATACTGGGTAGGCTTTTGTCCTGGAGCTCAGGATTTGAGACTGTCTTTTTTTTTATATGTACTCATACTTACATTTATATAACAGGAGACCAGCGAATGCAGCAGGGGAGGGAAAAAAAGTCCTTCAAACCAAACAGCTATTCTAGAGTGTAGAATTCTGCTTTGCAACACCACAGCTTAGAAGAAGAGAGCCCAGCCTCATTTTGAGAAGTAAATAAAGGCAGTTTCTGGCATTTCAGAAGGGGTTTCTGGGACAAGTCTGACAATAATTCTACAAAACATATGCATCCTTTCTCTCCTCTGACCTCCATGGCTGCTCACCATCAGGATTAGCTCTCCTGCTAATACTCAACTCTTCCTCTGAGTACTCAATAAACCATGACACTGACCATGTTTCACAAAACACTGTCAAATACACAGGGTAAACAGACTAAACAAATGATATTTTTAAATGAGTTTCTTAATCTTTTCAGCTACAGTAAGAACAGCAGTACTAGCTAGTGATTACTTGGAAGAGCACTGGGTACAATGTCCAGATGGAAATGTCATCAACCCCCAGGCAATATTAAAACTAGATCTCTATTCTTAGACATCTTGATTGTCCTCTTCTTCCTAGTCCTAAGTTCACTACGGTTCTGGCTATTTTACCAGAGGTTTTTATATTGCTCCCAAAACCTATTTCTTTCAAGCCTAAACCGGAGTGTTTCACTTGGAATGGCAGCAGCCGTGGTTTAGTTTCTCCAGTAAAGCTCTGGGCACAGAAAGACTCAAAAAGCAGGAAAAACATATGTGAGATTGTTTTCTCAAATGGCTTGGCTGCAGACATGTGAGGGTAAGGAATGCTGGTTATACACTTTCATGGGTCAGCCTTTCCTATAAGCAATTACAGATGTTAATGGATTTATTTATTTTAAACTCAGGCTCCCAAACCAGCAGAGGATTTTGCTGTGAATCTTGGAGTCATTTCCTGTTAGAGAGAAACTGAAGTTTTATGTAGCCAGTTCATAAATTTAGTTTTCCTTGACAGAATCTTGGTGTAGTTATCACTGTAAATTGACCATTTTCTTCTAAGTAGGAGATGGCATGTGGAGAAAAACAGAACCTCACATCTTCCATGGCTTTAAATACCTCTCACAGACACATTTGTACTGTCATATTATTTATGGTGAGTTCCTGATATTAAACTTGGAAACAGATCAGCACTTTTGCATTTGTAACCAGTGTTCAGTGCCCCAGGTAGACCAAGTCAGACGTACAAATGATGCAAAACTAACTAAGAACTTATCTGTCTTACTCCTCCCTTTCCAGACTTGTTTTTACAGGCTCTTGCTCTGTTCAACATCTCAGTATTTCTGATGTTGCTGCTATTGGTGTACCTAACAGCCAGCTTTGGCACCAGTTTGTAGAGCTCAAAAAGTAATAGCTTTGAAAATAGTTTCTTTCAGTATAGCATTCAATTCATTTTGGAAGATTTTAGGACTCAACAAATCACAAAGCTGATCAAATAAAATAAACAGAAACACTCACCTATCCACTTAGATGCCAAATCTATAGCACAGCTGTGCCCTTCAAGTAAATGTGGATCAGCAAAACTTCAGTATGAAGCAGGACCAGTAAGAATGAAAGATGGAACCTGGAAAATGGAAGGAAAAGGTTAGATTTAGTGTACTTTTTACTGACTGCTCTTTTTGCTCGAGTTCCAGGTTGCAGGGAGAAGGAGACAGTAATAGCATGTGCTCTAAGGGTGCTGAATTCTGCCACATGCATTGACCTGTGTACCTGAAATACTCAGGTGAGTCAGATGTGCTGCTCAGGACCTGCTCAGCTCAGCAGAGTGTGCCCAGCAGTGAGCAGCACTGCACCCCGCTGCAGAGAGAGCCCAGAACCCTTCCGAAGGCAAAACAGGCCAGACAGACGGGATAAAGCCCTGAGGACCCTGCTCTAACCCCATAGCTGACCCTGCTTTAAGCAAGATGCTGGACTAGAGACCTCCTGAGGTCACTTCCAGCCTGAGTTATCCCTATGATCCTACAAATAGTCTGTCCTTGCCTTTTCCACTTGGGACTAATTTTGATTCATGGTAACTTTCTTTAAACCAGAACCAGAACAGTTCTTACAGAAATCCACCAATGTTACTATCACAAACCTCCACCTTTTGATCTTGTCAATTTTAGGCTCATAGGCATCTAATGAATTGAGTTCCTTGGTTTAACTGAAAAAATCCAGGAGGAGGTATCCCTTTTCATCAGTTCTGTTTGCTTCCTTTGTACTTCGCTGACTGTCTTCTGTTGAGACAAGGAGGACGGAAGCTCCAAATCGACTCTCTTTAGACCATTCAGTATTTCATTAAATTATACGTACCACATCCTCCAGTGTCTGTGCTCTAAAAATAAAGAGTCCCAGTCTTTTTTCCTAGGAGAATCTTTCCTGGCCCCTACCTATCTCCATCATATCCCCTGAATCTCCTTCACTCTCCTTCAGTGCTTTTTCTGAGATGCATTGACCAGCACTGCAGATAGCAGACTGTTGATGAAGAAGTTTTATATTGTTCACATTTCTTCCCCATCCAGGCCTCACAGATCCTAACATCTTCTTTGCTTTGTTTTGAAAGCATCTGCTTCTTAAGCAAAGGTTTCACCTGAACAGAGATATCCAGGGCTCTTCCAGTATCTGGTATCATTAAGGTGTTCCATATGATTTAACCCTTTTCCACCTCCATGCTCTACTTTACACTCCTCCACATTGAAGTTCATGATCTTCTGTGTTACCTGCAGCTCAGAGCCTGCTGGCACCACTTCTGATCTCAGCTGAACTGAAAAAGCTGCGTCACTGCTCAGTGGGACCACCAGGCACGCGCCTAGACACATTCAGAACAAACCCCTGGATGCTCTTTGCTACCTTTCAGCCAGTGTCCTCTTTCAGATCCTCTACCATTCACAATAATTCTTTATCTCTTTTCCTTTTGCAAAGGATTTCTGAGCAAGCTACATTAACCCACTCTATATTTCCTGATTTGTTGACAAATTCAAACCACTCCATTAGACTACTTAGAGGCAGTCTACTGGAGAAACTAGGCTACCATGTTGATAAGATGCTATCAGGTTAAAATATCTCAAATAACTTGATCAATTCAACCAGCTTAATAGGTACATATAACATATAACAGACTTACTGCTTTGTAATTAGCTCAATCACAGAATCCTTCTTAAAAAAATCCCCAAAACAGCAGGTAAAACATCTGCAGGCAAAACACCTTTCAGAGCAGCTTCTCTTTTAACAACTGAAAGGGTCTTTCTCCCAGCAGTCCAACCACTTGACACTATCTCTTCTGAGCTCTCAAATATACAACACCTGGGCCTGCTCACTTGCCACTTTAAACTGTCCATTTGTTCCAGTAACAATTCTTCTGCCACTTCAGCCTCCAAGAATATGTCATCATTGTGGCTAGAAAGCACAGATCAGTGCTAGGAAGGCCTCAACAACTTGTACCCAGTAGATACCTTCTCCCCTCTCGACTCCCGCAGTGGTGCCTCAGTGCATCTCCTCCTCAGTTACTCATCTTTAAAGAAAGCCTGACTCTGGTACCTTCAGAAGAGAAAAGTGCTGTGCTACCTTGGGAGCAATTTCCTGGGTTTCACAAGAAATACTAGGGCAAGTGGGATTATTTAACACTAGAAAGTGAGGCAAAAAGTAACCTTATTTTTTTTTCATACATACCATTTCCTTGTGGTGAAAGTACAAATTACCTCATTGTGTAGACAGATCCTCTCCCCCCATCTCCACCAGGAGACCAGCCTAACAGGCGGCTGCATTCCTAACTGGGGGTAGGAAGGCACAGTGCTGAGTCTGCAGCACCCGTCTCCACCAGGCAGGAAGCATGCAGTGCCAGGCAGAGTGGGCTGCTGCAGGAAGGGTGGCACCTTTCTCAGCAGGAGCACCTTCTCCCACTTCCTCCACCAGCAAGATCAACACAGGAGTGGTCCTGACAGTCCTGTAAGGCTGGCCAGAACCTAATGGAAAGTCAAAGAATGGGATTGAAGTGACTGATATTGATTGCCTCAGCCCTCAGAAATTAGCTAGCTGCCACGGCCTGTACGAACCTAGGCTGATAACTATGGAGTACTGACAGCGGAGAGGATGATGGGACACACGATGTTGCGTTTGCACTGAAGTTTTATCACCCACTCCCCTTCTCTTTCTGTGAAAGCTGCAGCCTAAGGACCTGAAGGCTGGTAGCAAAACTTTCAATCAAGCCAGTCCAAATACTGCAAAGGGAAAGAATTTCTGTAGTGTTTGTTCTGGATACCACACACCAGAAGACGGTCCCTAGGGATTCTTCCAGACAAATCCTGTAACAAAAAAATCTTCCTATAGGTTCCTGATGGAGAAGAACTACACATCAACAGTATAACTTCTGAAAAAGCATATTATCCTTCATGCCTCTAGAGACTCTCATCACGAGAGCCTGTTCTCCCCAGGTTCCTGCACTAACCAATACCTTATCACTACTCTACAACACAACAGTAGACCTGTATAGTACAGGGTCTCGGTGTTTGTAGAAGTGCAAATAAATTAACACTGAGGACAGCAGCATTTGTTCTATAAGGAGTGCAGAATGGGAATTCAAGGTCAGGTACCAACCCTCTTGTCCTGGTCCCTGCCAGCTTTCCTGTGCCAGAAAAGGATAACAAAACCAGACATGGAAAATAGGAAATGACAAAATTAACTTAAAACTATATAAGCAAGGCTAGAAAAATCATAACAAGCAATCTTAGCAATGAGCAATATCAATGTCTACCTGACACTACCCACTTCTATTACCTGATATCATGTCAGAGTACCATGCTCACTTTTCAAGGCTACACCTCCGCCTGCTAGTACCTTGTACATATGGCAAAGCACTTCATAGCCAGTAAAAAAACATCTATCACATTCCAGACATGAATTTTAAATCACTACTTACATGACAAAATGTCCCTCTACCTTTCAAACGCTGTAGAAACTAACCTTACTTTATAAAGCTCTTCACCGCAATAGAATATTTTTACTTCATAGCTCCTCTGGAAGGATAAAGGGGAAGTGACTATAAAAATAAAAACTAACGGTTGCTCAGGTGCAAATGCTCATGGTTTGTATGCAAACACAGTAGCATTCAAATCAGAAATACAGCTGGTGTTTCAAAAATGCTTATTTGATTTGACTGCAAACAACAAAAAATATTATATTAACTTAAACAAAAAAAATATAATTGAGAATTAAGGACTAAATAAAAACATTTCAGTAGACTCCCCCAAAATGAATGAAGAGTACAATACTTACTAAGACCTAACTTGGTTTTCAGAGGAAGAAAAGTCATCATAGTAGTAATAAAAACAATTATGAAAAATAACATTATGGTAAGGGAACTGGATAGCACTAAAGATCAACAATGCATTATATTAAAATGGGAAGGAAGTAAATTATATAAGATTACTTTCCTGGTCAGAAAAGTTAGGGAGTTTCAAAAAGATCTTTTTGATGTGCATCAAAACCAAAGAGAAAACCCTACCAAGGCCACTAGATCATTATAAAACAAACCACAGAACTCTTAATACTGAGAATACTAAATAATTTGTATAATATCCACCCCATGATGGATGAACGTAGTCCATTCCAACAGTAATCCAAAGTGTACTGAACCACTGAAGCCATTGAAGGTATTTCTGTCAACACAATCAGATCATTTGCAAATAGAAGTCACTGTGATTTTTCAAAAAGTACAATTAGGGAAGTAAACACCCATCCTTCAGACTGAGATCAACGTTAGGCTGTTAAAGAAATGGCTTATATGGGAACTGATGAATAAAGATGGATAATAAAATTAATACCAATCAACACAGTTTTATGAAAAGCAAGATCTGTGTTAAACTAATACATTTTTAATGAGACCTCTGTGTGTTATCAGAGGTGTAATTCTTTTGTAAACCATTAAAGAAGTATCAAGGGACAAAATGATTCATTAAATTCATACAAAATCAATACAACACATTTAAAATTATTAAAATGTAGCTAAATAGGCTTAAAAATGGAACTGCAAACAGCAGTCATTGAACACATATGTTTCTAGTACCATCCCACAAAGATTAACTCTCTGCTTATCTTGGTTTTCTATTATTTAGACTTAGGAAATGAGTTAGGAGAGACACAAACCATCAGTGATCAAGCTGTCTGATGATGCAGAGAAGGGATCCGTTAGTTAGTGTGATGACAGAGAGGCAGAACAATGCAGACCACTTGGTAAACTAGCATGAATCTCAATACAAAGTCCCTGTTTTGGGACAAGGCCATACTTACAGGATCAGTAATTCTACCCGGGAAAGCAACAAGTCAAGAGTCCGGACAGGTAATCAGAACAACCTCAGGCCCCTGTATGAGTGTGTGGCCATATCAATACATAAGTTGTCACAGTAAAAAGGCTGTATTTCCTTTATAGTTGGTGCTAGTGAAAACTGTGGTGAAATTGTCCAGTGAACCTGCAGCAGGGCTCATTCAGAAGAGGCTGCATTGCCCACAGACCATTCAGTGCCGGCGGCACACAGCAGAGGAGAGGTGTTGGTCAAACTGTCTCCTCCGTGGCCAGCACAAAGCCTTGCCCTGCCCATCGCTCCTCCAAACTGACCACCACGGGACCTTACCCCAGGTGTCTGACTCCACTCCGATACTGGTAATTCTGACCATGTCAAAGAATTCTATCATTTTGTAGATCAAGAATGGAGCAATCAGCGTTACGGATGCTTGTGGCAAGAATATCAGCTGAATAATTAATGAAGAAGTGAATATAAAGAGAAGTAAGAACACTTCAAGCTGTTTCTTTCCAAGAAGACAATGTTATTCTAAAGGGCCCATTCACTCAAAACAATGTACGTTCTACTGACACTATTTTTTCCCAAAAGTGTATCTTCTGATCTGTGATTATGTTGAAGCTTATCATCATAAAAGCCAAATATAAAGTGAAATTTAACACAGTATCTTGATTTCCCCACATTCTTTAGAACAGAAAGGTGCTTGCTTTGAAAAGGTGACCAAACTGACCATGGGTTTCTATAGGTGATCCAATATCTTTTACACTAACATTTCATTAATTTGTAACAATGAATAACTTGCTCTCTTCTCAGCTAAAATCACATCTAAGAGCTACAGTAAAATACACAATGTACTGCTTTGTGGATATGTTGCTTTATGATGTTTCCATCCTATCATATCTGTTCTCCATACACCAGCATCTATCATAAACAGGCTCGGTTTGCTGCTCTGGAAATACTTTTTTTACATTTCTTACTATTAAAATATCTTCTATTTTTATTAAATTAGTTCCTTCACCTCCTCAATATCAAAATATATTGTTACTTATAGACTTGATGTGAGTGCTCTGGGAAACTCTGGTGTCATACCAATGATCTCAGGGATGCATGAATGTGTAACTTCCATGCACTGCTACAATAACAGCAAGAGGTCAGCTCTGAGACAACGATATCAAATTCCTCCGTGTTAGCTTTCAGGAAAATTCTTTCTAGAAACTCTGGACAAGGGCCTTGCATACAACTGAGGACAACAGTTTGAGTTTCACTAGCACACAATAACATGTCAAACATCCTATTTAAATTGCTATTTTCTACTATTTGACAGTTTCTTTGGAAAAAATGTGCACTGACAATTGACCCGATGGGAAAACCAAATGCTCAAAAGAACTCCAGGTCCATTTTCTTCCAAATATAAAGCTTATGAGAAAAATTCCTTCTGCTTCTGTTTCCAGTCTGCCTCTGACACATCCATACAGTGTAAAGCAATACAACGACTTCTGGCTATCCAGAAAACTGTTTTAATCCAAACAGTAAAATCAAAGGGGGAGAGAAGGGACCAGGAGGGAGATGAAGAATAGGATTTTAAGTAGATCTGAAAGCAAATCACCCAAGGGCCTTTGTCTGTAGTCAGAACAGAGACTGCACTCTGTTATTTTTTTTCAGTTTATACAGGAGCCAACAGACAGCGTCAGTCAGTGCTACTGTCTTTGGGCTTTACTAGAGACAAACTGTTTAGTACAAATAATACATGTTTTTGCCCAGCAAATACTTAATTTTTGCTTTATTTAAAACCAGCATGGTTAAAGGCAGCACCTGTGTATCTGCAGGATGAGGGACAAAGCGTTGTCAGTAGAACTGTTTCCTCTCAAGGCAGGCCCTTACGCTGCTCCTTGTGCCCCTGGAAGAGAAAGATAAAATTCCACGTTGCTCCATGAAGCAGCTGACAGACTCCTCAGAACTGCTTTCCCTGACAACATTGCTCGAAAGAAGTTTGCTTTGAGACTGGATGCATTAAGCAAAGTTTTTAATTATCTTCCCAGCAGTCAGTGCATGCTTAAACTCCAACACGCTTGTACTCGGGCCGTCCACCGAACAACTTTGCTTTATCACTGAATTTTTGCTTTTGGTGCCATCAAGGGTGGAGCTTCACCCCTGCCGAACAGCTGCAGCTAGCAGTGAGCTCCCCATCGGCACTCAGCCTGGGGTCCCCTAACGCGCCACCGCCTCGAGGCCACGCTCGGATCTGCCCCAAGGC